AAAAAAAAAGGTATTGAATGGAGATTATCTTCGCTCTAAAGAACTGTACCCTTTGAGCTCATGCTGCTTATGTGTATTTGTACTCCCAACCCTAGGAACTGAAGATGGAGAAAACAAATGAGGTAAGGACAACACTCAGCTATAGCCTGAGGATCAGGATGGATGATGGGGCCATCGCTGTTGGCATCAAACCTGTAGGAAGCAAATGGTAACCCCTAGCAAGTGGATGGCAGAGCTGCTAGGAGCAGCTGGTGGCACGAGGCTGGCTAGAGGACAAATAGGAATTCTGAATCTCTTGTACCAAGGTGATGTTACAAACTGGTGATTTGGAGAAAAACAGGAGAGACACATTAGAAGATACTGGACTTCTTCAGGGGTAGGAGCAGGATGCTCTTCAGGAAGAGCAGCAGGATGGGGAACTCATCCCTGTGGGATGAGAAGAAGGGTGACCGATCGTCATCGTTGATCAACAGGAAACAATGGATTAGCAATAGTTAAATGGGATAGGTGATAGGGGGAAACGTGTAGGGCTAACCTTATTTGGAAGGGTGGTTGTATTGGTTTATAGTTAAAGATGTTTGTGTATGACCCTGTAAATAGTACGGTGATTTCGGAGAACAGGCCTTGAGTCAAAGGCCATAGAAACAGCAAGAATCCTTCATAAACTTCTGATGGCTAACTGCAGCAGCTCGATACAAAAAGCATTTGACCTTAAAAGTTGACTTAAAAATTTGACACAGATAAGGAAAAAACAAAATCTCATTTTGGGTGAAAGGCAGGGACAGCTGCTAGTATGTTAGGTAGTAGGTAAGTGAACTTGCAAAATACCAACTCTTGTCTCTGATTTCACAAGGTCATGTGAGTTTTGAGGGCTGATGAAATGCTGCACAGCTAATCTAGGTTGTTCAATGTCCCAGTTTGGTTTCACAACCTTCTGCATCTTGCATTATTTCACAAGAGTGTTTAAGAGGCAAGAAATGAGCATGTAGTTTCTTCTTTCCTTGACTGTTAAGTCTTAAACTTTGGAAGGGTAGGCAGTCATAATTTTAATCTGAGCTGTAACTTGCTGAGTTGTTCAGTAGTATGTAAGAAATTTTTGACTGGGATAATGACTTTGCTTAAGTTGCAATGCTTGATTTTAATGCACTTCATCACTTGGCCATTTTCCTCCACTGATTGGTATTTTGGGCATGCTTTTTGCATGTCCCCTTTAAGTGAGGGGATGCAATGTACATTTCTTTTTGATGCTGCTGTTTATAAACATGCAATCCTACATGCATGTATTATGAGCATCTATTTTAAATTAAAAAAATGAGTAAAGTCATAGAGCATCTTTAGCAAATGATGGCATACAACCCTGTAAGTTTTGTTTTGCTGCTCTGAACACGTATGTTCCTCTAGCAAAATTAGTGTTGATAGCACATCCGCAGGTTGGGGCTGTCAGAAACTCTTAGGAGTTACATACGTGAAGCGGTATTAAAAGATGACTTTGTTTTCTTGAGAGTAGATTGTGTAGAGAGATTTCTGGAGCTAAACCAGACAATCCAGTGATAACGAATTGAGAGAAAGCTGCACTTAGGAGTCTGCCTTGGCTCTGCAACTTGCACCTATATAACTATTTCTGTGCTGCAGATTGTTTTTCATATAAAGTGAATGATGCTGAGGTGCTGTGAAAAGGTGATTTGAGCATTGTGACGTTGGGTAAATATTAAACTAAAGAGGCTTTTTCATTCCAGGAGTTAGATATGTGTAACTTGTGGTTTGTTTGGGTTTTTTATCAGTCCACTTCCTCATGGCAAAATTGCTTGCTTTTCTTCAAAGGAAGGCGTTAAGTCTTGAGACACTGATGTTTTAAATACTGTCATTGGAATGTGTGTTCCCCCCCACTTGCAGTGAGTGTTGGCAACATTTTGCTGAGAAAGCTGTGGTTCAGTCAGATGAAGTGAAAGATAATTAAATTATTTTTAACTTTGGAGTATTTGATGCATCCTCAGAACTTTGTGTTTTGTTCTGGACTTGACTTTTTTACTGAGCTAATGAGCAAAATTAAGCCTTGTTAATTACACAGGATCATAAGGAAGAGGACAAAAACCTGTGTCTGTTGTGCTGAGTCTTATGGGTGTTGTTGAGAACACTACACTGAGGTGCAGAAGAAATAAAGTAGTTGCTTTGTGTGCTTTTATTTGTAGTCCTGTCATTTAGCTGTTAACATCTGCTGTTTTGGCCAGCAAACGTGCCTTTGACTTCTACTTCCAAATGCATAAGTGCGTTTGTCACTAAGTGCCGCTTGTGTAAATGGTATTAGACTGCCACCGCTCTAAACCAGAACACCAAACATTTTTTTAGTGCCCTGAGTTTTAGGTTGCGACTAGCATCCTCTTGTTGCAGACAGGCACTAAATGGGTGGTATATGCTGTAGCATCCCATACTGTGTAGTGTTTACAGGGCTATGGCATTATGTAAAAGCAGAGTATTTAAGGTCATTGAAATCAGTGCTATTCCTCCTTTGGGTGTCCAGGGCATCTGTTTCACTGGTTTCTGCCTTTAAAAAGGAAAAACACTCTTGGTCAGCCTGGCACCTAATCAGAGCAGGATTGCAACTTGTTTGATTGGGTTCAGCAGAGAATTTCCTTGGTTTCTGCTATATGGTTGCACACTAAATAGTGGTGCACAGATCGGAATAACAGATTAGGCGTGCATGTTAAACTGTACGCATAGGGCTCTAATAAAGGCAATTTTGCTAGTTTTTGTACTTTCTTTGAGGAAATTTGCATAAAAATGCAAGCAATGCCAGGCTTGCACACTGACTGCTTGGCAGTGGGAGGAGATGTGCCTTTTGCATGTTGTCTTAGTTGTGGTGTTCCAGTTTGCTGCTCAGTGAGAAGATCTGTTACAAGCCGACGTAGGCAGCAGGACTTATCTTAGAGAGCTGTTGTCGGTGTAATCTGCAGCCATTTAAGTGTGTTGCATGTTTCTTCATGGTAGCTTCCTAGCCCTTAGTTTTGCAAAATGGTGTTTTGCTCCCGTATAGGTTTGTTGTTACATTACCAAAAGACAAATGTTCTGTGAGAAGGCTAAATTTGTATGGCTCAGCCCAGAAGAAGACAAAAAAACCCCCAAACCAAAACCAAACCAAACCAAAAAGAGGTGATCTAGATATGTAATGTTAGTTGCTAAATTCTGTCCAGAATAGGTAGAAAAGCCTGTTCCAGTTAGCACAGTTCCTTGCAGAGCAGGGAGACCTGAGGCTGTGTATAGAGCCTTTCTGTACAGATCCTGGTTTGTCTTTTACAACTCTTATTTCACTGCTTACACTGGAAAATTGTTTAAAACTTGAGCTAGATATATCAGGTGAAGAACCTTTCAAACTGGCTTTGAAGAACAATGTCTTCTCGTAAAGTTTCTAGGGGCTCAGGGATTTCTCTCATCTCATTGTTTTGTTTTGCTGTCCTGGAAGCTAGAGGCAAACCTGTTAAGTTTAGTAAGCACTGTACTCTTTGCACTTCATAGACTTTGTTTCCTCAGAGCCTGCCTTCCTCCTCTTGGAGAGGGACTTCACAGGCCTGAACTTAGGACAGAGAGGAAAAGGGACAAGAAAACACTATCTTTATGGTTTATAGGCTTCTGTACAGAGGAGCTTACTCTGAGGGCTTTTATCAGTGTCCTTCTGGAGACATGGACATATTTGGATGGATCTGTTTTAGTTTGCATTCAGTTCCATGTAACTTATAATTATACGGAGTAGTAGACTCTTTCGTGGGTTTGAGGTCAGGTACGGTTTTGCCTCCTCTTTCATGAAAAGTGGTGTATTTTTAATGGGTTTAGTTTTTTTTTTTCTTTTCAATGTGCTTTTTAAGAAAGTGCATCTGTCTTTGCTAATCTGTTTGTTCTTTTTCAATGGGTTTACTGTGCAGAGTAGCTGTGCCAGATTTGTGCAAGTGACTTTGTGGCGTGGGACTTTGTCAATCCAAGGTTTGGGAATCTCGAGCAATCGCAGTGCTTTGTACAACGGTTTAGTTATGCCTTACGGTGTAACACTGAGATTTAGTCTTTTGGAGTGAATTGACTCCTCTATCAAGACACTGAGGAATTCCCTTTGAAATAGGGGATGGAGGGAGTCGGTGGTATCTTTGCGCCACTTTAACATCTTCTTTCTTTTTAGGCAGTTCCTTATAGCTGTGATAGATTCATGCAAGGTATTCATAGTTTTGTGCCATTAAAATGTTCAAAAACTTGTCATTTGAAAGGAAATGCCTCAAGGTTTTCAGTTTATACATATAACTCCTTTAACTTCCTACAGTGTTTTGTTTTTTTATTAAACACTCTGCCTTTGATTAAGAGTATTTCTGTACATGTATCTGTATATTAGATTATTGTACTTGATTGCGTAGAATACTTGTGCTTTATTCCTAGTAACCATCAAAGAACAGTCAAAATTACCTCTGTTTCAAGAGAGATTTCTGTGTTAATATTTAAAGAAGAAATAATAAATGCCATACTATAATGTATTAAGGTGCATCTGTCATGCTTGTTTCGCTCAAAACCAAGAAAAGGTTGAGCAGTGTTGAGGTCTTTTAAAGATTTAAAAATTATCTAAAAATTGTGTACACCTTGCTGTTTCCTTTCAATGCAAGCGCTGAACTGAGGTACATATGGGTGTAAGATGTCAGTATCCTTTTTTGGTATTGTTTTTGTATGTCTTAAAACATGTATGCAAATACATAAGTTTCTTGTCTTCTGCCTGTATACAACTCGTGTGTCTAGCATTGCACTACCACTCACTGGCCCTTCCAAAATTCAGCACAACATAAGAAACCTGGTTAGGTCCACCAGTACACCTGAAGAAACCCACTGAAATAGTGAGAGACAATGCATGAGCTGCTTGAACGGTCACTTCCTCAGAGAGCACACAGATTGTAATTTTCCGTCGCAATATAAGCCTTTGCTTTGTGGGAATGTTAATGGTAAATCCCAGTTTTCTGTTTTTCTGTTTCAGTATGTATGACCAATTGCCCTACTCTGATTGTCATGGTGGGTCTCCCAGCAAGAGGAAAAACCTACATCTCAAAGAAGCTGACACGCTATTTAAATTGGATTGGAGTGCCTACAAAAGGTGATGGATTTGCTTTTGTTTACATCAGAAGGACAGGGCAGATGTTAGGTGTTCCATAAACATAATTCCCAGTAATTTTGTTGCCAAGTTTGACTACATAAAATCTTTCTGCTTAGTTAACTTATTTTTAAGCAATAGCATATACAGGCTGTCTCTTCCGTTTAGATGTTAATTAGTCAAATTCTGGTGACTGTTCATTTACGTCCTTGTTCTGCCAGGTGCCTAAATCAACTTTTTGCCTTTGTCCCTTAACACTTTGGTTCTTCAGCTGTCCTTTCCCCCCTGCCCCCCCTTTCTTTATGTGGATGAAAGGGAATCTCCTTTACAAGCAGACCAGCAGTCAGCACTTCTGGGCTGCATCAAAAGAAGCGCGACCAGCAGGTCGAGGGAGGTGATTCTCCCCCTCTCCTCCACTCTCGTGAGACCCCCTGAACGCAGTACCGCGTTCAGCTCTGGGGCCCCCAACATAAGAAAGACATGGACCTGCTTGAGCGGGTCCAGAGGAGGGCCACAAAGATGGTCAGAGGGCTGGAGCACCTCCCCTGTAAGGACAGGCTGAGAGAGCTGGGGTCGTTCAGTCTGGAGAAGAGAAGGCTCCGGGGACACCTTATAGCAGCTTTCCAGTACCTAAAGGAGGTGTATAGGAAAGATGGGGAGTGACTCTTTAGCAGGGAATGTAGTGATAGGACGAGGGGTAGTGGTTTTAAACTGAAAGGGGGTGGATTTAGATTAGATACTAGGAAAAAATCCTTTATTGTGAGGGTGGCAAGGCACTGGAACAGCTTGCCCAGAGAGGCTGTGGATGCCCCATCCCTGGAAGTCTTTGAGGCCAGGTTGGATGGGGCTTTGAGCAACGTGGCCTAGTGGAAAGTGTCCCTGCCCATGGCAGGGCACTGGAACTAGATGGTCTTTAAGGTCCCTTCCAACCAAAACCATGCTATAATTCTATGGAAGTTCTGACTTCTCCGTCTTCTTTTCTCAGTGAACTTTGTGCAACGTGTAATTCTCTGTGTAACTGTTCAACTGCATTTGTGGAATGAGTTACAGCTCTTTGTCTGAATATTAAGAGCCCAAGGAACTGAAGCAGCCACTTGCTATCATTCTCTTAAGGACTTTATATGTGTGTTTAGTGTGGGAAGCAATGGCTCGGGTTTGCTATGTCATGGACCTGCCTGTCCTACCTCATTCCCAAGCTCCTGTGGTATCTTGTGGGCCCAGATTGACAATTAAACAAGACCTAAGTCCATTTGAGGTTCTGAGCAGCCATCTCCCCTGCCACCTTCTCTATCTCTGTAGAAAAAAAAGGTAGTGTTTTGTGATTCTGTCTGGCGCAGTAATAGTAGCTTTATAGTTATGACTAGTTAATAATTTAAATAACATTAAACATATTAGATCATACTAAAGTGTAGACTTTTGGCTGGATATTCAGAGATGTATTTCCTAGTAGCTCTAAGAAGTCAAAATGAGGAGTTCCAGCCTAAATTTAAACTGCCTTTTCATTCTGAGGGATAGCTTTTTGAGTTGGTGTTTTCTTAAGCTCTTAGAAACTTGTCTGATATGCCTTATTTAGATGAGATGTTATGGAGGATACGTTATATTGAGTATGAGAGGTTATAGGATTTAAATTATAACTTGAGTTTTGACTGTTTTCACGCAGTAAAACCCTTCTGATGAGCAGTATCAGATATTTAGAAACTTCGGTTTTATCCGTTGGGCTGAAACAGAGTAACAGTCTAAATAGGTTAGCTTATATCCAAGCTGATAAAATGGGATATAACTATGCTTGTATGTTAGATACACATCTAACATACATTTCTGTAGGTACATATATATGTCATCATTTTCAGCATTTTACCATGTGAACTCTGAAAAGCAGAAACATGGTATTGGACGACAAACAAGGTACTGTCCACATCTGGCTCATGCTTGGTTGAATATATCCCAAATACAGTAAGATAGATAGGGATGGTCTGCCTCAGTTATAGGAAAAGTTCCATGGGCAACTGTGAGCAGCATGTCAGAAAATATATGCACTTGTGCTTAATAAAAAATAGAGCATTGCTGCCTAATTTCACAAAAATGTACAACATAAAGTTACCATATGAGCTTCCATCCTAGGTTGCTGGTTATGGTTTGTTTTTGTTAGAAAGGGTGACTTGGGATTTTCTTGGAAAACCACGGACCCTTTCTGTTGTTGGTGTCATCAGTGGTGCAACTTTACTGAAGCTGAAATAAATTTAAAATACTCATTGAGGGAATGGATGACATGTTACCTAATGCTTCCAGTTGATTGGGACTGAATTGATATGTGATAAGTATCAAGTAGCCCTAACATCTGTTACCCTTTGGCTCTTAATGCCTTAAAATTAGTGTGTGCTTAAATATATTGTGTGCTTATTCTCCAAAACAGATGGTTAAAATTATTAAACCAGAGAAAAGATAAATGCCATGTTTTCATGTAACATACATTAAGCAAGCTGGAGAGTTCAAGAAAAGAAGGTGGAGGTAAATAGCCCAGGGTTGATGTTAGTTGAATCATTTCAGCCATCAGTTCTGTGTTTTCTTTTATTCTTTCCAAAATCCTCTGTCATTTAGAATGTGAAATGGTTAAAAATACAAAGGACTTTTGTCTGGGCTTTTTGAAGGAAACGAGGTCAATTAGATGCTTGAATAGAATTGTGTTGCAATGTGGTTTTTAGATGCTAAACTTTGGGAAGTTTATTTGAATAGTTCTGGCTGTGTGGTAGTTGTGATACCAGTTAGCGTTGTGAAACTTTTCCACAGGGGTGGATGCTAATAATGAAGGCTAATGATTGTCCCACTAGACAGCACTTTTTCCTTTGCTGTGCATGACCCTCTTGCAGTAACTATTCTTTCTTAAGAAATGAATTATTTTTTATTTTTAAAGGGCTATTGCCTGACAACACTGGCCATCTGAACTTCTTACATCTTCTGTTTTTCTTACAAGGAACCACCTTTCCATGTAGCCAGTACAGCCAGTGCTCATTAAACCTGTCACAGAATAACCTGGATTGTACTATAATCTGTGTCATACAGTTGACCACAGAAAAATTACATCAACATTGTTGAATTCAAACAAGACTTGACTTTTGGGGGGATAAACAATATTTATTTCTTTATCCTCTGCCCCCAGTCCCAACAGCATTCTATATACAGCAGCTGATGGTTGAGCTCTTTTATCCTATATCTTTTTTTTCTTAATTACAACTCAGCAATTATGTCTGTTACTTCTTTTCCTCTTTCCAGAAATGAAGTCTGGCAAGTATTTCTATCTCGGCAGCTTCTCAGACAGAATACTTCAGTTTGTTCTAATGTTAAAAAAAAAAAATGCTTTGCAGTTCAGCAGAGAAAACCTATAGGTCAGAAACAAGTTAAACATTAATTGCACTTCAGAGACCTACTTTCAGAACTGTTGAATGAAGTTAACTAGGGTACAGTGTCATTGTCTGCTGTGTGGTAGAACAGAACTGCCTTGCCCTAATCCCATATCTGATGTTGTGACAGGTGTGTAGCCATAGACCTTATGGACCTTTGCCCAGATAAGGACACTGTTAAGAGATCACAGTAAGATTATGTTCAGTACTTATGCTGATTTTTTTAAATGGTGTTTTTTTTTAATGGTGTGGTTTTTTTTTTAACAACTTAAGCATTTTTTTTTTAAATAAATGGAACAGGGGTTGTGAAATAGTATGTACTGATCCTTAAGGAATAGAAATATTTGAGCAGAATTATGGAAGAAATGTTTCCACAACTTAAAATTCAAGTTTTGCTTATCAAAAGCAAGATCGGTTAGTTCTATTTAGAACTCTTCCTTGCTTAAATAAGAGCTGAAAGTTTTGGGAGGTGCTGTCAGAATACTGTTTCACTGCACACATACACGGAAGAAAAAGCTAGATTATTAGTAGTCCTTTGTAGACTACTGAAACAGATTTCCAACCACCGCTGTAAAGGAGGAAAAGAGTTTCTTTTTGTTGTTCAGGCAAACTGGCAGGCAGAGGCATGGCAATATGGCCCCGTGACTCCATTGAAGCTACCTACAGCCCAAATGTTCTTTTGCCATTTCCATGATTTGTTGTCTTTTTATTTAAAAACAAACAAATCCCTCAAAACACAACAAGTATGATATGCTGACTTCGTACATGCTAAATTGTTTTATCCTCGCAGGTAGTTTGGTTTCAAAGCTGTCATAACTTTTGTCCTTTTTACGTGAATATCATTAGTTCCCACTAATACTGGTTTCTTCTTGGCAGAATTTAATGTTGGTCAGTATCGTCGAGATTTGGTGAAAAAGTATAAATCTTTTGAATTCTTCCTGCCTGACAATGAAGAAGGCTTGAAAATCAGGAAGTAAGTTTTGAATGTGTTTGGCTACCTGATGCTAATTGTATTAAAATGGTACCCTGTGTAATTTGCTTAGAGACTACTTTAAGTTGCATTTTTGTATGCTCAAGAAGACGCTTAAGAGACTGTAGTATGAAATGACAATGAAAAGAAATTCTAGAAAAGGTGGAAAAGTGATTTGTTTAGGCTGCTTAAAATTTGGGGTATTTTTTTCTTAATTGCTTCATCTCCAGGATCAAAAATGCAGAGAAGGTAAATACTTGATTCCTTTTCACCTTTCACTAGGCTGTGACTGCTGCTACTCCTGCAGATATTCCAGGTTATTTTCACTCAAATCAAAGCAGTTTTAACGAATAGTTACTATTTTTCTTACCTTTTTGTAAGGTATCAGCTAATAGATGTAACTCTTACTGCTTTCTAATTCCTAAAATGCCATTCTAGAGCTTTTGTGTGGATCGTAAAGGAGAAAAAAACCCCACATAACTGCTTTTCTTTTTGGTCTACATACTGGAATTTTTCACCTGGAGTACTTTGAACATGTTTGTTCTTATCTGTTCAAATGAGCAGGAATGAAACACTATTATTCTCTCCCTGAAATTGTCTATTTGGCCACCATGTAGGTGCTTCATGCAGTCAGTCAGTGCACTGCCTCGAAAACTGCCATGTTTTGCTAATGGTATGCAAAGCAATATAACCACCAGTGTGAACATCTGTGCCTAGATGAAGCACTTGAGACTCCCCTCTTGCCTTGAAAGAGGCTGTGCTTTAATGTAGAGGAAAGACCTTGAGAAGAAAGGGTAGATGAAGAGAAGGTCAGAGCAAGAGGGAGCTGCCTCTTTCTTACAGAAGATAAAATGGGAAGGTCTTTTGATTTTCTTCACCATTCATTGTCTTTTTTAGTATGTTCAGGAAAACATTTAAGAGTGTGCAGTAGGAAATGAGAAGGAACAGAAATTTTAGCAGAATGGAAATGTGATTTGCTTAGGCTACTTAGAGTATTTTGTTCTTAATTGCTTCAGCTCAAGCATCAACAATGTCTGGACTTTCCTCCTGTCTGGACTTCCTTTTGCAGCTGTCCCTCTGTCCTCTCTCTCTTCCCTTTCCCCTTCAGCAGCAGATGAGTATTGCTAATGTCAAAGGAGAACAACCTGCATAAGAACCTCCTAATCCTTTGGTTCCAAAGAGTAGATATGAGGTGCATTAGCCTTGCAAGCCCCTACCGTTTGCTTAGAGGTAGAGCCAAACCTTTTAACATGCCTCTGTGTCACCTATTAGACTAAATGGTGGGGAATATAATATGAAATGGGCTGTGTGAGCTAATCTGCCTAGTTAGCAATGCGTAAAGAGGGTTTATATTTATTTAGTGAAGACTTGGCTGATGAATCTCGGTTCCTGACATCTATAAACAATGCTAATGTGGAAATACTGTCAGGATTGAAATGCCTTCTTTTTTCTTTTAAGATAAAGCTCTGCACCAGAATATGGTAAATGTAAGAGAAGAGTTACATGTTTCAGTCTGGAAGTCAAAATAGAGTAGTAATTCATAGAAAGGCTGTTGAAATGGACAGGGTTTTATGTTGGTACTGCAAAAAGACTGTATTACTGGAAATAAATGGGGCCGTGTTCTACTAATGAGTAAATTGTGTACAATGTTGATGTTGCCCTCCAGTATTATTTATGTGTTAAAAATCATAATGGACTTGGAAGATAATACTAATACTGGGGAAATAGGAAAGTTGCAAATTAATTTATTCTTGTCCAGATTTAACACAAGCGTAAAGTATGTGGGGGTGGGTTTTTTTGGTGTCGTGTCCTCAACTGTCTCCAGTACTAATTACGTTGCGTTGGTGACTACAGTGGGATGTTATTTTCACCTCTGTCCCTAATGCTTGGTGCTAACATTGTTTTACTCTCTGTTTTAACAGATATTTTTTTGACATAAGCAATTTCATACAATAGTTCAAAAGAGAAGTAGATTACTGAAAAATAGTTGTCTATCCTCTTTAATTTAGGGCCTCAAGATAAAAGCCTTAAGTTGATTTATTTTTTCCTCTTTGAGAATCAAATTAAGAAGCAAATATCTATGAATAGGTAATTGGGAAAAGAATACAGTTGCAGGGATGATTCAGTGATGTTACTTTAGATCAGTGAAAGTTTATCCTGGTCAGTGAAGTTGATGGGTATTCTGTGGTGATGTATAGTTGTATCATTTGCACAGAGGAGCACTGGACTGGTGTTTTTTTTAGGCAGATAGCCATGACCACATTTCCTTAGTATAGCTTGGTTGACCTCTGTTGGGTTTTCCCATGTTTGGGGGGGAGGTGGGGGTGGGTGGTGTGATTAAAAAATACATGTTTTTGAGAGATATTATCTAACATTTGCAGGGCACTTTGATCAAAACGCACAAGTGCACTATTAAAGCGACTTTCAACTAGCATTTGAGTTTTACTCTCTTTTCATTTTTAAGACAGTGTGCCTTAGCAGCGCTGAATGACGTCCGACAGTACCTCAGTGAAGAAAATGGGCACGTGGCTGTAAGTTTCTTGTTGAAGACACATTCTTGAGATGCTTCCCTACAAAATAGTGTGTGTCTGCTGGATAATATATAGCCCGAGTAATTCCACTATCTCTTCAGTATATCAGATTTTTTTTCTTTGGGATTTGTATGTTAGATCTGCCTTGTTGCTGCCGTGAAAGGAGCACTTAAGTTCAGGGTGATGATGCCATATTGAGCAACCACCTTTGCGATTTGAGGGATTAACTGAGGAGAGAGTAACAGTGAGAAAAATGTCCCCCTTCTCTCCACGTTATATAATGTACCATTAAATACATCTGTTGTTTTGGTCACACTTGTGCTTCTATTTGATAGTCTAGTGTTTCAAGTGAAAGGTAAAGACTTACTGAACAAAAAGCATCCTGGGTATTGCTTGGCAGTTGTGTTACTGACGTGAGAAATCTCTGAAGAAAGCAGGAGAAACTCAAATTGCTGCATATCTGAGTATTTAATAACGGGATGCAAAACATCAGCTGTTCAATTATTGACATTGAGTATTCACATTAATTTGCATAACACTGTTTTTCTTAAGACTACAGACATGATTCTCTGTTGTTTTCATTAACTAATCGGGGAAAACCATTAACTATAATTGTAAGTTCTGCTGGGGACATGAGGTAAACTTTACACTTTGGCAAACTTCATACTTTGGTAAAATACTGGTGTGTTCAGAGCTAAAAGTAAGTTCTTAGAGAAATGGCTGCATATATCTTGTAATTCATGGGCAGGATTTACAAGTCTTGCAGATCTTCTGCCCTTTAGAAGTTTTACACTTGCATTTTTAATAGCGTGTTGATTGCAGCATCTTTTTTTGTGTGGTGTAAGTTCACAAAAACCCCCTATGCTTTAATATTTAATGCTGATATGGTCCAGGAGGAAGATTCTGTCCTGTATTATGTGTTAGGCTTAAATTCTGGTTGCTTCTTCCAAATACAGTGTTCTGCTAGTAGTGCTTTCAAAATATTACTCTTTTTCTAGTATTTCGAAAATCATGTTTGTAAAGTAGAAATGTCTTTTGTTTTCCTGTTGAGCATGTTGAGGTAGTGGGGTAGAGGGAAAGGGAAGTGTTTTCATTGCTTTCCTTCACATTGAGGGACTTTGAACCCTTATTTTTGTTGTTACTAATGCAGTGCTTTTCATAGGCTATGATGCTGTTTTTAATTCCTCTCTCTCTGTTCCCTGTAATTATTCCTAGGTCTTTGATGCTACAAACACAACTCGGGAACGTAGAGAAACTATTTACAAATTTGGTGAAGAAAATGGATATAAGGTGAGTCAAAAGCAAAGGAGTTCTGAACTAATGATAGTTTTGCTCTTATCTGCTACTCTGAGTTAAAAGGTGCACTAGCATAAGCCCCATCCTTCCTAGCTGTTTAGTCAACAGTGCATTTTGTGTGCTTAAGCATTGTTTGTGATTAAAAGTCACCCAGTCCTCATTTTTCTCATCTTTAGTGTTTGTACTGTTTGTAGCTAATATCTTTTATGCTATGGCTTCAATTCTGTCACCCTGGACCTGTAGTTCTGAGTGTACTCTCAGCAAGAACTGTTTAAAATATGGTTCTTAGTGCAGTTCAGGTTTTTGGTGCGGAAACACGTAGGGAATTCTGTGTTAGTTCTGTACAAACCAAAAACATTCTGTGGTTTTATGCCTTCTGTCCAGGATTGTTTTGCATTTAGCTGTTCTCCAGTAATCTTTCATTTCCTCTGAACTTGCATCTCCATAAACCTTTGAGATAGCAAAACACAAACCTCTTTTAAAGTGAGACTGCTCCATTGATTGAAAGGGTTCTAAATTATTATTTCAGAAGCATTAGCTACTGTTTGTGTGGCTGAACTTGCATCCTCTGCATTTATTTCTTCCTCCCATCCTAAATTTTTCTCACTGCAAAATTTTTCCACTTACAAGCATTGTTGGGGAAAGGAGTATAGAGCATGATGCTTCTAGGAATTGAAAGCCAACAATTTCTGATGAGAGGGTCTGGAGAAATCTTCAGAGTAAACGGAGGGAAGTTTAACGCATGGCTCTGTTAAAAAGGGTTACCGTGGAAGCGGGCAACTTGCTGCTCATGTGTGTTAGTCTCCAGAGGCATTCTAATGCATCTTTCTTCTTCCTTCCTTCTGTGGACGTGATTTCCTATTTGGACTGAAGACTTTTTTTGTTGAGTCAGTATGTGTAGATCCAGAGGTCATTGCTGCAAACATTGTGGTGAGTATAGGAAAGTTTGCTTTAACCGCTTTAAGTCAAGAGGTTTAAAGTAGCTCAATATTTTTATAACTATTATAAGAACTTCCAATAGCAAAAAAACATTAGCTCCCATTAATGGAACACTTTTCATTTATTTTCCTGTCCAGGTGTATACTAAGAAGTCTAATTCTATAAAGAATAGCTCTTTTTGCTTTACATGTATTCTAATTAACTTCCAGAAAATAAGTTTTTGTGGTGTTCTCCCCCTTCCTATTCCTTTAAACTTGCATTAAAAAGGGAAAGAAACTTATGTACTACTCTCCTGGTTTTATTTTAAACAGCAAGTGAAGCTGGGTAGTCCTGACTATGTTGATTGTAGTAATGATGAAGCAACAGAAGACTTCATGAAAAGAATAGAGTGTTACAAGAACTCGTATGAGACATTAGATGAAACTCTTGACAAGTAAGTGATGAAATAATACTGTGATCACAACTGGGTTATTTTAAGATGTTTCCTTAGGGGATGGAGCATCCTGTATCGGGGATTAGGGCTTTCTAGTCTTGTTTTTCTAATGGCTTGAGCTCTCATTCCTTTGGTAGATTAGAGAGAGTTGACTCTGCTTGCTTGCTTGAGGAAAATTGGCTAATGACTCTACTCTGGCACAGTATTCTTTTTGATTTTCCCTCTTGGAGAATAGTATGATTCTTCTGGGATAGAACCAGCATTTAGAAATTATTCCAGACTTGCTGTAGTGGTTGGTTCTTTTTTTTTTTTTTTTTTAGTATCTAGAGGAGACCCCAGTGATTTGTAAGCATAACTTCATTTGTTGACATGACTAAGATGAATTTTGAACATGTCAGTCTTAAAAATGTGACTTCTAAATTTATTTATTTGTGCTTGCAAATTATCCTGCAGATGCAGGACTGTGAGAAACTTTCTTAGCTAGATTATTTGCCCTCATGCCAAAGCACTCATCTGTTTTTTTCATTCACTTTCGACACTTGAAAGTAAGGTAGGGGTGAACCATGTGAGGAGGAGCACTGTTTCTCTTGCTACAGTCCAGGATTTCAGTGTGGGATTTTGAGCTGCACGCGTACCAGATGCTCCTGGTTTGTTTCAGGACCAGTGCTATAGAGAAGGCTGAGCTGCATTTTAATGTAATTGAGTGTAAGCAGAGTGAAGCTGGTTCAGTCAGATCAGTTCATGCATGTAATTTCTGTGATGGACCATAATGGTTGTGCCTGCGTGAAATAGCAATGATTAACTCCAAAGAATGCTATCAGAGATGAGGTGATGCTGCTTGCTTCTCATCACCTCCATTTAGTTTTATTGTAAGTTTTCTTGTTTTATTGTGGTGTGATGTCTCGAAAGCATCACTAGAAACCAACAGTGGTTATTTTCAGCTTATCAGACTTTTTTCCTCCTTTAAACTAGATGCTACTCTGAAATTATAGCTCAGACGAGAAAGGATAAGCATTGAAAATTGAAATTATAACCTGCCTGATGCTGAGAAAAGGTAGTGGTGGGGTAGATTAAGTACTGTTAATAAATAGTTGTTGATAGAGGTGTTGAGAAAAGTCTTGCTTCAGGCTAGTCACTGGTCCTTCTGATGCTGTAGTTTTTCTGGAAGGGTTAACTGAGATGGGTAAATAGTGACCATTTTGGCCCCTGGGTGCAATCAGACAATACTTGCTGTGGGGGGAGTGTTTGTAACCTGCAGAAAAATAACTAGTATCGTAAAATATCTTATTGAAGCTACCACAGTTGAATGACTCCACTGAATTTTCCTTTCAGTGGGAGGGCTGTATTTTTGCAAGAGTAGGATCTAGATTTGAGGGACAAAGTGCAAGTAAAGGGAACAGCAAAGGAAGTGATGTGAACAGCTTACATGTGAAAGGAATAGAGTTCAGCCTGTACCTTTGGAGTATTGCATTGTTTCTTAGGACTAATGCATATTCCATGAGTAATTGAATTTGGTGTGTTGCCCCTTTGTTTTATAATGAGAGAGAGCGTGGGAAGATTGTGGTACATGCTAATAGAAACTATGTGAAATCTTACATATTTTTTTGTCTTCTTGTCAAAGGGATCTTTCTTATATTAAAATTATGGATGTTGGAAGGAGTTACCTTGTGAACAGAGTAATGGATCACATTCAGAGCCGGATTGTCTACTACCTCATGAATATCCATGTGACTCCTCGGTCAATCTACCTCTGTCGACATGGAGAAAGTGAACTCAATCTCAAAGGGAGAATAGGAGGAGATCCTGGACTGTCTGTCAGGGGGAAAGAAGTATGTACCTCCTGAACAAGTGTGGCTGGGTTTTGTGTGTATCTATGCATGTGTGCAGTTTGTGCTGTGTAATTAGAGCTTTCTTTCTCTACACCCTTTTCCTCTTAACATGTTTAAGAAGGATTTTTTTAGTTGCTTATGTGGGTAGTGGAAACTGGATGGACACACTTTGTGTATTGTGATTCGGTATGTGCTCTTTTATCTGTCTGTCATTCTGTTAGTTGAAATTCATTTTTATCCTGCAGCACAAAGCAGTTGTCAAGGGCTTTATTTTTTAACTGTATTCTTGTAAAATCCTGACTTGTTGGATAATTGGGAAGGTTCACAAGTTGAAGCTGGAAGGAAAATTCCAGGAGGTAAAGATAGGAACTGCAGACAACTTGTATCTTCCTTATACTCCTTTCCTTACCTCTCCTGTCCCTCTTGGCTTAATGGAATGTGTTATATTTCTTAGCAAAAACTTTGACAGTCCCTTTTGGAAAAGTTATAATGAGTTTACGGAGGCTAGAGCCTGCATGTTCCAAACTGAACACAGTGTGTTGGCTCCAAGCCCTCACCCAGTGTCTCATGGTTTTTGTTTCAGTTTGCCAAAAGCTTGGCACAATTTATTAATGAGCAAAATATCAAAGATCTGAAAGTTTGGACGAGCCAGATGAAAAGGACAATTCAGACTGCTGAAGCCTTGGGAGTGCCTTATGAGCAGTGGAAGGTTTTGAATGAGATAGATGCAGTAAGTTCTTTTCTAATGTCTAATAAGTTGCTTTGCTAGGGACGAAGGAAGTACTTAATTTTGTAATGGTATGCTTTTTATGGGATAGAAAGTCATTTAAGCTGGTTCTAGGGACTGGAAAAGAGTGATTAATTCCTGTTAACAAGGCTAAATGTTTTATTAAATTTTGCCATAATTAATTTAGTCTTGGTTTGTCTTTCCCAGTAAAACATTCCCCTGTAGAAACCACGATGCTATGAAATTTTTGGTAGCTGGGGGTTGGAAAGAAATTTTTGGTAGGTGGGGGTTGCTAGTTGCTGCTTTCCAGCTGCAACTGTAAGATACATAAGCAGGTGCAATAGATAAAATGCGACCTTGCTCAGTGATCTTGCTTGCCCGCATGTTACTTCACTTATACAGGGATTTAGCGATTCCTTCTAGCCACATCTGAGTCCAGCTGAGTGTCCTGTTCATCATGCATGACAATTTTGTCTTTAAGTATCAGAGTAATGAAATACAATTGTTAAAAGGTTATTTGTTATTTATATATGGTTTTATTTAAGAATGATAATCTGTTTTTTGCACTGCTGGAAATACTTGCTTTTTAATTATTTTTATTACCTATAGGGAGTGTGTGAAGAAATGACATATGAGGAAATACAGGAAAATTACCCGCTTGAATTTGCACTGAGAGACCAAGACAAATACAGATACAGATACCCTAAAGGAGAGGTGGGCTATTTTTTCTCTCTTAAGGTGACGGGCTTCCTTGTCTTCTTGAATACATGCATGCGGGCTTTAGGAAGGAAAAAAAAAATTAAATGAATAAAAAGTTTTTCCTTTCTCCAGGGGAAAGCACATAGGAGCTTGCAAGGATTGAGCCCAGACCATTTAATTTGATTCAGGGCTTGAAAAATAAAACAGTAGATTTAGAAAAACAGCTGAGAGCTGTGATCTTGTGGGCATCGTTTCTATGCTGGTCCTGCAGTGATAAACCAGGAAGAATGATTGCAAGGCTTCAAACTGTTGCATATGCAAACATACTGCCAAGATTGCCTTTTTCTATTCATCCTTGCTGTAGATAATGGCTGTTTTGCATGCAGTTCTGGCTGAAGTGCTAGGGAAATCTGTAGCCACATTGGTCTTTCACTTTAATAAACTCCTTGTCTCTGGGAAAATAACTTGCTGACAGCTTTTCTAAAGCAAACCCATTACAGTGCAGCAATTACCAGATGGTCACACGGCCTGTCTGTGGGTGCTAAAGGCTTAGGATTCAGGGCAGCAGGATGGAGGAGTAATTGGACCAGCTGCTCAGCTGTTTGTGTCATGAGGAAGCGGAGTGTTGTGGTCGTCTTTCCTCAGCGGTCAAGAGTAATCACTGTGCTAAGAGCAGCTTGTGATAAGAGCAGTGTTCTTGCAGGTGTGACCCCTGTCTTACTAATGAGGCAGTCACAAGCTGTAAAGTTCTCCTAATCCATTTGACCGAGGAGTGTTTGTTTTTCAAACTGATGCCATCTTCTAGGATGGTGGCAAGGTTTCAAACTCTCTCATTGCCTTGCGGTGATGAGTTGATCTCAGTCATTTGTCAAAGGCAGTTTCTGTCACCGGTTACAGTCCCAGGGGTTTGGACAGCCTCGCTGGAGACCACTGCGTTTCTCTTGCCAAGGTCTGAATCAGCAGTGCCACTTTCCAACCGGGCAGCCGCCATGCCTGCCCTGGGACCAGGGCGAAGGCTTTCTGCTGTGGTCACTGCCTGCCCTTCTGGGTGATGTGCTGTGTTCTCCGCATGTGAGATGCGTGACACGTTTTGGAAGTATTGTCTTTGCTGTGCATGTGAAAATTAACTTACGCACGTGTGGAAATCCTGCTGTTTACCTGCAGCAGCAGATTCACTGTGTGCATGCTGTGCGGGATGGGTTGCAAGAGAAATCCAGCCTCCTTGCTTTGTGACTTTTGATGGGATAGCGGCTGCCATCGCCAGGCCAGTTCATCAAGCCCATAGTTCATTTTCAAAGGGCAGCCTGCACCTTGTGAACTCTTTGTATGCTGACTGTAGGCTGGGCTTCCCAAATTTTTGCTTGGAAGAGAGATGCTTTTGAAGATGAGGTACAGAAAATAATGTGCAAGACTTAACCTGTACACTTGCAAATGCTGTGAATGAAATTCTAGGGATTTTGCAGAAATTCTTGATCATAGTCACTAATTTAATAAAGCTTTTGCTTGAGGGAGATTTATTTTGTTATATGTATGCTCTTTGATAGTCTGGAAGGACCCGGACTGTGTTCTTAATTTAAGGAAAATTATTACTACAATATTTGTCTGTGCACTAATATAACATTTAAGAATATGCCTGATATGAAAGCAAAATCCACTGTATATACATACACTGTTAAAAGAGTTTTCCCTTTTTAATGTGCTGTGTATTTCTCTTCCCTGCCCAGTCCTATGAAGATCTTGTTCAGAGACTGGAGCCAGTAATTATGGAACTTGAAAGGCAGGAAAATGTGCTTGTCATATGTCACCAAGCTGTCATGCGCTGTTTGCTTGCATATTTTCTTGACAAGCCTGCAGGTAAGTCTTCCTTGATACATCTCAAATGGTCTGGTTTTTGAAAATTTACTGATTGAGGTTCCAAACAGTAAATTCCAACAATTTCCTTATCATCACGAGGTAGTTGTGCTAGGCAAGTATGCAAGTGTGATTTTTTTTGTATTTGACCCACATGTGAAACTTGGTAGTTGATTTTTATTGAGCTGCTCATCACCTGAAATACTGTAATGTTTGTGTTTTGCTCTGTTTGAATAGTGTCTCTGTTGCATGCTAGGGGAGAAAACAGGTACACTGTCAGGTAAAAAGAAATTTAGGTTGTTGACCTGTAACATAATAGAAAAGTTAGTGTTCTTGTAATCTGTATTTCATATGTAATTTGTTGTTCAATGTCTCAGAACAACTGCCTTACCTGAAGTGCCCACTGCATACTGTCTTAAAGCTAACACCGGTGGCTTATGGTAAGTAGTATTAAGTATGTATCATATGTAAATCTAACTGCACTGTCTGTGTCATCAGTAAAGTTTGTGAAGCATTTAAATTAAAACACATTTTTAATTTATTTTGCTTTAAAATAGAATTGAACAGTTAGGTTTGACATTGCATGTATGCCTGTACAGCTTTGTTAGAATCAATGAATCCTTTGGTTTACATTTGCTTTGCATTATGCCAGAAAATACATATGTATTAGTGAAGTCCTGAAACTACCAGTGGCTGTAACTGCTAGTGGACAGTTTTCTTTTGTACTCAGTTCATAAGCTATTTCACTAATTCTTCTGGCAAACCCATGCCATTTACACGTCTGGTACACTAAGATCTCAGTTTTTATTGATGTATTTTGAGAGTATTGGTTTTTAGAAGACAGCCAAATTTACATTTATGTAGGCTTACCATCTTACAAAGGGCGTTCCCCTTACTCTTAAATAACTTCGTTCTCTTTTCCTGAAGTATTTTTTCGTGGACCGTCACACTACCACATGAATTTACCTTGTTTGTTGTTGTTGGCATTTGCTTGCCAGCAGCTATTATCAGTGCTTAGCTCAGGGGCTTGAACGAAGATACGGCGCTGGTTTGTAGAGTGTGGTGGGGTATGGGTTGCAACATGTACTACTTGGGTTTTAGGCTGGTTGCTAATTAAGTTTTGTGTGTGTTTCACCCTCAGCTTAACATGTGGCTGCTGTTAATTTTCTTTAAGTGATGGCTTAATTATATCTTCTGATATCTCACCACACTTCAGAAGATTATTTATAGACAAAGAGAACTATCTGCACAGCTTACCAGGAAATGGATTGCCAAAAAATGCTGGTTGAGTTATTAATTGGAAGTGCAAAGCCGTCTTTGATTATCAGCTTTGAAAATTAGTAGTCTAGACCTGTAGTTCCTTTTCTGGTACATTTCAAATAAAGTTGAGACAAAGTAACTAGCTGTTACACTGGGAAATCTGTCTGAAGAGATTTTTGTCATTTAATTGCAGTGTGGTTTTACAGTAAGTAATAACTGTCTATGCTTTGGTGACATCTGGTGTTCCTAGTCTTGCATGACAGGCTGGAGTTTTGAAAATACAGATTTAGAACAGTTAAAAAATTTTTGTTTTGTTTTGTTTGGAAACTGGATTCTCTTGAGTTGCTAGTCTTGGCCTGTTTACACAGAGAATTTGTTGTTTTGGGGTTGTTTTGGGTTTTGTTTTTTGGGGGTTTGGTTGTTTGGTTTGTTTTTTTTTTTTTAATGGGAAGTTGGGTGACTTTGTAAATTTTAAGAGGGCTTGGATGTTTGCAGTGTTTACTCACGCACTAAATGAGGAAGCAAAAGAAGTGGTATGAAATACTGTCCTTGTCTGTTTGACTTCTGTGAAAGAAATGTAATTGTTCTTTTTTTAAAGTGTTTGATACTTAGTCTGATTAGCACATTTCAGTAGACCTACTTGGAATTTAACCATCTGAAAATACAAGGGCTGTGTAAACTGTTTATACAGTAATAATCTATAGCATTATTTGAAGTTGATGTGTCACTTGGCTCTAGTGAGGCAGGATGCAGGATCCAACATGGTGTGTTTAATACCTTCCAGCTAATCCTGTTCTGGGGTAACACCTCCCTTAGGGGTTTGCTCTTCCTGGCATTTGAAGCTAGCATCATTCCCACCCTAAACGTCTGATCTTTAGTAGGGGAACATCTGTTACGGCCTGGCAGTTGGATTAGGATAAATTAGCTTTTTACCCAACAATCCAGTATAGCGGTGGTCTGTGTGGGAGCACACAGGAAAGAGAAGCTGCGCCTTGCTGTAGGTATGAACTTGCACGTTGGTAATTAAAAATGCGCTGGGAGTATGCACATTGTAATTACTGTGGAGCAACTCCTGTCCCTTTGGTTTATATTTGAAGCTTTCCATGTGATACTTTTTTCAGGTCTTAAACTCAGCTGGCAGTAAGGACTGAGAGGTCTCTGTGGAAGTGTGTCTGCTCTGTAACCAGTCCTTAGTAATGGCCAGCATCAGGGATCAGAACTTGTTTTTTCTTGGTCTCAGGGGTCGCAATGGATCTGTGAACAGGATGACTAGGCTACTCTTCCAGTGGGAGTTGTGCGTTTTTCCCCCATAAAATCTGTTTTCTGGTTGACTGTTTCTCTGAGTGCTGGCTCTCCTTCAGTATTTGCTCACAGTGTCCATGACAAATGGGGTTTCTCAGAAGAGGCTTTCCTAAGGCAAATATTTGCCTTTGCTATTTTTTTTTTTTTTTTTAAAGTGCAGTGGCTTTCTAAGAAAAGGCTAAAATTACCTTTTTCTGTCATGTAGTAATTCTATGGAGTGTGTTACGACTTTAGGAAATAAGTGAGCAGAGTAATGTGAAAACCTGTTTGCGACTGTGGTATGTCAGGGGAATTTGACTATTAGTGTTGTGTTAGGGTAGTGGTAGCTTATAAAAGTCACGTCCATGTGAGATAAGACAGTGTTTGGCAGTAAGATGTTGCTTAAAATGGTGTGGCCACAGTGTATTGAGTAATTACAATTGTCTAAGTGGGCCAGCTTATACTAACTGATTAATAGTTGTCTCTTCTGACTGTTTAATTTTTCTTGCCTCTCTGGAGTTTTCCATTTCTGGGTGAAAAGGAGAAGTTCGTTTTTAGAAGTCAACTTTAAAGTTCCATTTAGCTGGGGGTTAAAACTGTTCTGCACATGTAGAGAAATGGGGGTTGCTAACAACACACAGTGTATCTCCTTGTAATCATTTTCATGTTATAAAAAATGAGAGCAGCATTTATCTTCTGTATTACAATGAAATTAAAAGAATTCTAGGATGTTTAAAAACCAAAAAAGTTACAAATAAGAACTTTCTGACTGAATGTTGTTGTTCATGTATGTTTAAAAAATGAGAATTTGTTTCAAATAAAATAATGATAAAGCTAAGGTGAGAATACGAGATGGATTATCAGATTGAGAAAAATGTTAATCCTGGTGGAAGATGTTCATTTCAATGCTTTAGCTATTCAGAATTTGGGAAATTCTAGTATAAATCAGAAGGGGGAAGTGATTAACCTTCACCAACTCAAAATTAGATTGTTTCTTTACTATAGCTTCATTTTTAAAGCAGACCAATTCTAAAAATGTGTTTTCTGTCAACAGGATGTAAAGTAGAATCTATATTTCTGAATGTTGAAGCTGTAAACACACACAGAGATAAACCCGAGGTAAGAATATTTTTGAAATCAGAGAACTTGACATAATGTGCTATCTGAGGTGATTTCCATTGTCCTTGTGGTTAGAAATGATTTGAGAACTCAGCTGAGCATATTTAATTTTTTTATTTAATAATATCAAGCTTTACTACTGGTTTGCTGTTGCGGGGGAAAAACATCCTTTTTATTGAGCAAATTTATCCTACGTATGAGCTCTAGCTGGAGTAGTTTATCTTCTAAAAATGAATAAGAATTTGAAGATACAATATCAATCTAAAAAGTGTATAAAGTTCTTCCAGCCTTTGTCATTCAGCAGAAGTAGGGCGTAGTCAAAAAGTATGTTGTTATGAATGCCACACTTATTTTGGAGAGAGTAAATAATGAATTCATCAGCTTTTTCATCACAGCAATCGTTGCTGTATGAAAAAGAGGAATTGATGATGCCACCTCTTGTTTTAAGCCAAAGCTAGAGAGGAAGACTAGATCTCAGGATACAGCAGAACAACTGAGGAAAAGGAAATTGGGTGTGTTTGTAAAATGTAAGTGGACATAAGATGTCAGACCACGGCAGCTTTGTACTCTTCCTGTGTCAGGCACATGGTTCTGTGTGCTCCTAAGTGTTGACATGAGCGTAGGTTGATTCCACTGCTCGCGCAAAGCTCTTCTATTGCTGCATTGTGAAAGTTATGTAAAACGTGTCATGATTAAAAATTTCTGGTTGCCTTGCAGATCCTCATGCTAATGCTACTAGGTATGGCACTGATTCCTTGCTGAGGTTATGAGCCGTGCCTACTGGTGAAATAAAAGTCAGTTTGATAACATGAGAAAAAAGGGCTGTTTGTGGTGATTTTAGAACAATGGTTTGTGGTGAATTCATGTGTATGTGTTCAACAAGGCATGCGATACAAAATGCCGTACTTATATGAGGGTACACATTTGTGGCAGTTGTGCAGAATTCATGCTGGAGGGGTCTGCAAAGAAGTTTTGTTTTAATGACTTGGGTATTCTGAGTTCTGAAAATACTGACTTTTGGCTGTTGATAGCTAAGACGTTTTCTATTAGATAGTCATATTGCATGTTTCCTCTTTTTTGCCCTTTCTCCTCTGTCATTCTGCTTTACCACTTTAGTATCTTAGTTTGGTTTGTTAGGTTTAGGAAATCCATTCTGTTTTCACACTGCCTAAAAGGTGTTGGAGAAGCGTGGTTACCATGTTAAATAATGTAGATCAATTGAACATCTTCAGTTTGGCTGATAAAATATTGGTGCTGAAATTAGAGCTTGCTAAAGTGTCTTGGGAATTGCCATTGGAAATACCACTTCTATAACTGAAGGTGTTTATTTTGAGGGGGGGAGCTCTGCCTGAATCACCAAGTGACTCCTAACTTGTCTAGCAAGGGATGTGGCTGTACTGACGTGGCTGCGTTTCAGGTGCCTGTAGACGATCATGCAGATAGTTGCATTGCAGTGGACACAAAGGCACAAAGCTGTTTAATTTGAAGAGAAATAGAGTTAATGAATTTTTAAAAAGAAAAAAAGGGAGCGGAGGTATTTTTATTAAAAAAAACCTCACTTTTCTCCCTCTACCCCCAAAGAAACCCAGACCGATGAAGTACGGGTGATGATACGCTGTTCATTTAGTCGGGCTGAATGAAGGACTGAGTTGATCCTGTCTGCATTTAAATGCTGCTCGGAGGACTATGAAAATTTCAAAAGCTTTCATTCACATCACCTATGAAAATGTTAATTACTTCTGTAAAATTAAGTGTTCAAATAGTCTATTGAAGTCAAAGCATTTAATTAAATACAGTGTCACAGATAACAACATTGTTAAACAATGAAACTATTTGATTAGGAATTGCCCAGTGTGCTGTTCTGTGCCCCCACAAGTAATTTGTAGTCTGTGTTTCAGAACAGTGCACTCCTTTTGGGCTTCAGCTGAAAGCATCTATTTTCACATTTCAGAAATGCAGGCAAAGCACTAGAGTAGTTGTTTATAGTATGTGTAAACTTCATTGTATGATGATGATTTGTCTGAAGTGGATTGAAGCCTTGTGTTTGTCAGTGTTGTAGTAGCTTAAGTTCCTGACCTTTTCAAATAAAGGAGTCTATAGTCTTTTTTTACTGAAAATAATTATGGGGAATTACTTTAGCTGTTGCTTGGGTCCCCTCTTTGGGCAGAAAACAAGCACTGGGGTAAAATGTCTACTTTGCGCCTCTGTCTTAGTGAATGACAGATATGGAGATCGCTCCTTGCAAGAAACCCAGATCTCCTTTTTGATTTTGTGGGGGGAAGGGGAGAGGGAGATGTTAGTGAAAGGTGAGTTTGCTTACCACAGTGTGAAACAAGTAAGACTCATGAAGCCCGTCAACACGAAGTTTGAATAATTGGCAATGATTTGGCCTAAAATGGGCCAAATCTTAGATCAAGATCTTGTAAGGAACTTCAGAACAATTTATTGCAGCCTGCTTTCCTGGTGGAAGGGAGAATACTAATTGCACAGTCTTTAGGACTTGTATGAGGTGGTACCGTGGCAGGCGTGATTCCTGAGCCTCGTTCAGCACAGCTGCACTCAAAGCTGTGCTGCTTAGTGCGAGTGTTTGGCCGTGCTGGTGTTTTGGTTTTTTTTTGGTTTTGAATAATTTGCTGCACTGAATGTCATTTTTTTTCTACAGCCTCTGCAAAATGAGGTGAGATCTAGTTGGTGTGATCAGTCTTGAATGGTTAAGGTGTCTGGGAAGATACCTTTCTGTTTTGTCAGGGGTAGTACATTGCCTATAACACAAACAAATGTTAAAGTCTTCCCTTGGGAAAGAAGTTTCTGGCATAGCTCAGCAAAGCACTGTAAGTTGCTTAATGGATAGACGTGCATGTGCTGAAGCACATGTTTAAGTGGATTCCTGCTTGGGCCTGGAAAAGACTTCCTCCTAAACATGGATGACTTGAGCTTTTGGTCGTACTATCAGCATGGGATCAGTGATTACTGTAAATATGTTTTCCTGCTGTCTAGTTCTGGGACACCAACCAGCTGTCAGTCTGCTGCATTCTCGGGGTGGGGGTGGGGTTAAAAAGAGTCTCTGCTTTTAAATAAGTGCCACTGTGTACTTGTGAAGGAATCTGATTGGGTTTTTTTGTTGCTCTTACTGCTGCATGGTAAATATTCTCCTCTGTATTTTTATTATTATACAGAATGTAGACATTTCCAGACCTCCCGAGGAAGCTCTTGTAACAGTCCCTGCTCATCAGTGAATCCTGTGTGCTGATCAACTATCGAACTTGGGGTGCTGTTTTCATCCTACTACTTCAAAATAAATTGAAAAAAATAATCATTCCAATCACTTTGAAATAAAAAAGCCCCACCCAAACCCAACAAATCAAAACCCAAGCCAAATGTTTGTACAGCGCATGATTTGAAAAAATTATCAAATCACAATAAAAATATTGCACTGGTTAATCTATTGTGGATAAGTTATCAAGCATTGATTGGCTGTCACTGGAATGCTGTTCTTGTAAATTGATATAATTTAAAGATCGTGCAGCATTAAGTTTCATTGTAACAGCCAGCGATCATTTAGCATTAGTTGCAGTATGTTTATGAGAGCCATGAAACACAACATCCTGTGTGAGATAAGAAAAAGTTGAAGTTTGTTTTTTAGGCACCAGTATTACCTATTTCAGTGCCCTTGGGAGTGATTGGACTGCTATGTAGCATAAAATAACAATCCATAGTTACTGTAAAACCTTAATCCTGCTGATCCATAGCGCTAGTGCTCTAGATGTGCTAATTAATGATGTGCTGTTTGAAGAGGGTAGCGAGTTTTCACTTAGTTCCAGAACAATTATTCAAGGTACAGGAATGCGTATAAATGTTTTTAATATACGACTTTTCCTAACATCTGTTCTGCATTAACTAGGCTTTAGGGTTTGCCTGCCGGCAGAAGTAATTTTAAATTTCCTTTTTTCCTGCTTCGTGTACAGACATGGGTGATCAACAAGCGTTAACAGCTCTGCTCTGTATGTTTTGTACCCAGATTTTATCTAGGGTACAATAAGCAGTGTTGACCGTTTCAGAATGTGGAAGCAGAGTTAGCCTGATGATTTTGTATCTGGGTTGTGACTCCAGTAGGTGCAGGATCTCAAACCAGCAGGGTATGCATCCTGAACTGAATTACAGCAAAACCTTTCACAGGCTGGAGAAGACTGCAGCTTGTTAGAGATGGGGTGCCATGCCTTGGCTCCTTTCTCTGCGACGTTACAGTGGGCAAAATGAGGCTGTGGGAAGCCTGTGCCATTGAAGCAGCTTTGTTTCAGTACCATTGAGTCTGGGAAAGGCAGAAAATCACCAAGTCCTGGAACTCTCTTCTGGGGGGGGGGGGGGGGGGTTTTGTGTTT